ACCACAGCGCCCTACTCGCCCCGCGCCTCCTCTGACGCACTTCCCTGCAGAGCCCGCCCCCTCCATAACTCCCTCGCCTCCGCCCCCGCCCCCGGCCTGGCCGAGGCCCGAGGCCGAGGGGGCTTGTGGGAGTTGTAGGAGGGACCGAGGAAGAGCCGAGAGGGGAGGTGGACGGCATGCGCGGCGCGAGCGCCCGGCGCCTTGTGGGAGTTGTAGTTCAGCCCCCGAGGGAGCGCAGCGCGCAAACGGGAGGTCCGGGCTGGTGGAGGCTGATGGGTTCTTCTATTTTACGGAGGAAGGGACTAGATAAGAGGAACTGTGCACAGACAAGGCGAACTGTTCACGGATAAGGATCCCCGCTGGTCACTGATTGTGACCTATGTAACTCAGGTTTTAAAGTTTAAAGAGGAAGAGACCACCTCAATTCAAAGACCAGGGAACTGAGCCCAGGGTGAGTGAGTAACTATCAAACTTGAATATTGTGGTGAGCTGACGAGCTTTGTGTCATTAGACAGTCTACCTGACTTCAAGTTTTAGTTTCATTTTCTCCTAAATATGGATGTTGTCAATAACCCCAATCCCAAGTGGTCATTGTGAGGATTAAATGAGAAAAAATACATATAAAATGCCCAGCGCGGGGCCTGAGGCATAGTAAACAATTATTAAATTATTAGTATTTGAAAATATTTGTTGAACATCTAAAATGTTTAAGTAGAGTCAGTATATACAGCTTTTAAAAGCTCCTGATCCCCCTGGAGGGTGAAAATAAGCCATTTCTAGAGTAGGTGTCTCTGCTCACTTCAGCAGCTTTTACAAACCTCTGGACTGTCAAGTTACTAGGAAAGACTTACCAGGACCAGATTTCAGGCCTCCTTGTTTAGCTCTGCTCAAGCATAATACATAAGTCTTCGTGATTCAAGATGGTTGTTTCTGGGGAGGCCTGCCAATCAGGATATCGCTTCCATCCATCAGATCTGCAGATCGCTTCCATCCATCAGATCTGCAGAATACCTAGAAAACACACAAAACACATTTTACTCACCAATTTAGTATGGACCTGGAAGTGTCTGCATGTTTGAGGTTGTGACCATCCTGCACACTCAGCACAGAGGACTTGCACTGCCTCACCACATGCAGTATCTCCAAGCCCACAACTGTATTTCTGATTTATCTCAGCATCTTGGGTAAAGTTTTCTGTTTTCTCTTTACTTGTTGTGTGGGTAGGCAATATAAATACTTAATAAAATAATGGAGCTAAATTTCTGCTTGTTTCTTACTCTGCTGTTTGGGAAACAGTAGCTGGCCTGAAATATTTTTACAAAATGTTAAAGATAATTTAGTGCAACCGTGTACAGATTATGCAGTTTAGATTTAAAAGCAAAGTTGAACTGGACCTCTGGTTTAACTTGCTAAGGATGGTTCTAATTTCAGCAGGAAGGTGTTAAAGTTACATTACAGTTTAAATAAACCAACAACTGAAAATCTAGATATGCAGATATTATTTGTTTATGTTATGCACTTACAAAACAACTCTTAATATGAGAGTTCCCTTTCATACCAAATTCCCTAATCTACTTAAATATTTTTTAATTGCACATTTTTTAGGAACTAGAAATTATGTTAAGTAAGATACATCTACGTATGTTTTTCTCATAAAAATTTTGTTGTGGTTGTTTTTCTTGTAAACATAGTAGCACAGAAAGAAGAAAAAGAGAAATATGTGCAAGCTCTGGGTTCCAGTCAACAACCATCCTAAAAAACTATCATTTTTAAAAATGTCCCTGTATCAATTCATTGTAGAACAATCGAAGAATTAAACAGGAACAAGGCAAATAGAAAACTGCATCTAAAAGGGCTCTTTCCTCAAGATGGCAGAGTAGAATGGAAGGAGACTTGACTTGGGGTGGTGAACACGCAATACAGTGTACAAATGATGTGTTGCGGAATTGTGCACCTGAAAACTTGTATAATTTTGTAAACTGGTGTCAACCCAATAAATTCAATAAAAAGGGAAAAAAAGGTGGAGTAGGAAAATGCTGCGCTCACTTCCTCCCACAACCACATCAAAATTACAAACACCCTGGCTTGGTAGCTCAGTTGTTTAGAGCATTGTCCCAATGTGCCAAGGTTTCAGGTTCGCTCCCTGGTCATGGCACATACAAGAATCAACCAGAGAATGCATAAATAAGTGGAACAACAAATCTATGTTTCCCTCTCTTTCCAAGAGGTTTGCAAAAAGTCCCTAATCACTGAGAATGACTCAAAATTCAAGCGTAATTCAATCCAGATCTACAAACACACACTGACCACCTATTGAATGCCAGACACTGTGCTGAGTACCAGGAACACCAATATAAATACAATTTTTGTTATGAACACCATAAATCCAGATTAAATCAAGTATGTTCCTAGAATAGCAACATCACTGCTGTTTCTGTAAATATGGAGTACCAAGGGAAATATCCCAATAAATGAAGGCGGGGAGGACTCTGGTAACAGCAAACACTTAATTTGGTAGGATATATTACATTATATTGCACTAAACTCTCCATGTAACTGTCAGAATAAAAATCATTAACTCTTAGAGTATAAACAGATCTCTTAAACTAGACTGTTTAAATAGTTATACACTTTACACAAGAGTGCTTTTTCCTCCTAACAAATAAATATACCATCACTCTGATGAGATTAATGAAAAACAGTTTGCTTCATGGTATTTGCCATTTATTCTAGGGTTCATCAGGAAAGCATATATGAACAAAGATTTCTGTCTGCTGTGCTATATGCTACATAAGCTGATGAGCCCCTATTTGATATGGGGGCCAGAGTGGTTGGCAAAGCAGCAGCAGGAGTAATGTATCACAATGCCAGTTGTGGTGGCTGTATCCACTCAAAACCTCACAAAATCTCAGCCCACCTGTGAAGCAGAGGCTGAAAGTCACAGCTGTGGCCATGTGATAGATGATAATAGAGTCGCTTGAGCAGATGTCCTTGTGGAGAAAACCTTACTCTCTCCCCATCTTCAATATCTGACCCAATTCTGAACATATCTCAGGAATTAGGACACAGAATAGAGAGAACCCAGAAGTCTACATTGATTTCTAGAATTTTGTGAGATTCAGGCTAGAAGACTTCTAAGAAGTTCAGATTTAGAGGTGATTTAAAACTTTTTAAAAAGCCAAAATAATAACATACAAAGTTGGTTAAGATAAATAAATGAGAACAGTGATTCTAAGCTTTAGTGTGTATAAGAATGACCTTTGATGGTTGTTAAATATAAAGTCCTATACTCTACTTCTAATGATTCTGATTAAATAGATCTGGGACTGGGTTCAGAAAGCTGCAGGTTAGTAGGCACCCCAGGTGACTCTAATGTGGGGAATGTGCTCTGGCACCCACAGGTTCAAAACAATGGCTTCGAGAATCCATAAAAGACTTTAGTTGGGTAGCTGCTATAACTAGAGGCCAGTGGAGAGAGAACGGATGGTCTCTCTCTTCAACTCAGGAGGTCAGGCACCAAAACAACAAATCATGTGAAACCAGGGAATAAGTACTTTATAAGCAGTGTTGTATCAGGACTCAGAGAACACAAAGGTGGAAGCAATTATCTGCCAGGGATGGGGGAGGAAAGTCGAGCAGTGTTTGGAGGAGAAAACCATTCTTGAAATGGCATGTACGCTGTAATTCAGTTACTAATATTTACATCTTTTTTTTTTTAATCACCCTATTTGGACTGTTTTTTTATATGCTTATGTATCCAGTGTTGTTTTTGAGTTTTGGTCTATGTGTAGTTGGTTATTTTATTGTTAGTATCCTCATGTTTATTTCAAAGAGCATTTGAAGCCTGGAAAATTACCATTGCACCTGAGCTTATTTAGAACAATGACCTTCCCTACTTTATCTAGTTAGCTTTTCTTATGGGTTCTGTCTTATAATAGCTTTGTATTCTCTGAGTTATTAAAACCTATTTGTTCCCTTTTGTGGCTCAAAGTACTTAATTTGTTTTTTAACTTGGGTCCCAAGATACTGTAGATCCACGTTGGATATTCTCACATCACAGCATTCTACCACTAATTACTATATTCCCACAGACTATATATCATAAAGAAAGTCATTTTGTCTACAGCTGCTTTAAAGTTTACTGAGAAAGTCCGATTTATTTGAGATAGTTTGCATCAGCAGGCCAACAATTTTGAATGCTGAAAGAAAATCTAAGACCTACAGAATAAATGTACAGCCAGATCTTTTCCTCTAGAATATGAACATCAACTCTTTTCCATTTTACAACTTTTATGTGGATTCTTGAGACAGTTCTAAAAAAATTTTTTTAAACATTTTAGGCCCAGAGTCAACCTTATCTTCTCAGATGCCAAAACAACTTCTGTTTGCAGAATGCAAAATTCCAACAATACAATTAAAATACAATCATACATATGATTGGTACTTTAATACACACACACATACATAGATATAGTGGTTGAATATTTTGTGTTTACCCCATAAACCCTTTTCAAGTGAATATTGTCCTACTTCAAACTACTTGACAAAATAAATTATTCTATTAAATATTTAAGGCTTACCTAGTGGGAAGGACTTCCATCCCAGAAATGTCAAAGCATTAGTTCCTCTCATCCACAGCCTGTACTTAGTGAAGGGTATGCTCCCTCCCCCTACCTCACCCTCATGAACAACACAGAGCAGCCAGGGCAGAAGAAGACAGGCCCAGACCAAAAAATCAACTCCCAAGCGACGTCCTGGGGTTGACCCAGATCAGGGGAGCCCTCACCAATCCCTGACTTAGACTCGCACGCATGACTGAGGTGACATTAGAACACATCAGGAGAAAAGAGAGAAGACGGGAACACAGCAGGCAGGGTCATTCTTTTCAAAATATTACTTACAAAAGAAAAATTCAGTAGAAAGAACTTCAAATGTTTACCAATTGTATTTTCATCTATAGGCATACATCCTTCCATACATTAGTAGTATCAACCTGAACCTGTAATTTTGGCGATGAAACGAGATGGAAAAGAGAGAAGGAGAGGAGAGTGAGAGAAGCTTGAGCCACTTCAGCCAGTAAAAAATGGAAATAAATGGAGTTAGTTTCAGAATTTGTTATATTTTACTATGGTCTTTCTAATGTAAAAGAGAATAGATAAGAAAATATGATAGGAACTTTTTGATGTCAGCCTATTTCTCAAGTGTTTTGAATGAAGCAAAAATCCTCCTTTGATAATGCCTATACTGGCAACTCCATTATAATGTCACTTAATATAGGTCTATCTGTTGCCAGGTCAGTAATTTCCAAAGTGAAGTTCACTGATGTGTGGAGGTACTTAAGGAAAAGTTATAGCTCAAAAGCTAAACAATCACTGCTACAAAGGTGAAGTGTAAAGAAAAGAGGGATTCGAGAGTTTGATGAAGGGTAGGTATTTGAGGGTTGGGGAGAAAATATCTCAAACGCGGATGTTAATTCTAACAAAGGGAATGTCACTGGTTGAATTGCAATAGCAGAAAAGAAGGTAAAAATACCAACTTGTAATTTTTAAACCTGTATTTGTAAGCTACATAAGTAACAATGCCTGCAGTTAAACCCAATGAATTCACTCTTGCTAATAATACTGAATCACGAAAACAAGAGTTTTCCTAATCAACTCAAATAGGCTGACATTTCCAAAGCACCTACTATGTTCAAGGTACTGTGCTAATTGTAGTGGAAATTTTTCCAAATAATAATAAAAGCACAAGAGATGGCCTTAGCCTTTTGAAGATTTTTTTTTTTAAACTTATTGACTGAGACAGAATTGGTTATATATAAACTAAAAGAGCCAAATAAGTGAGAAAAACCTCACAACCTAACTGGAATCATTATGTTTGCCATAGATGTAGACTGCTACGATTTGGGAGATTTTCAGTTCACTTTATGCAATGAAAGACTATTTTCATATTTCACCAATGATGTAAATAAAGAGTATCTTCGCCATCGTCTCCTTAAAATTCTAAAAGTAAAACAGTATCCTAAATGTGAAACTGAAGGCTAGATCAAAAGGATTCTCAGTGCCAAAAAAACAAAAGATGTCTTTAACGTAGGTAAGAAAAAATAGTTAATTTATTTTCTAATCTTTGGATTTACAGAAACAAGTTGAATATCTTGAAGAAAGAAGTAAAAAGCAGCTTAGTTTCCTGGGCAAATGCAAATTTAAAAACCACAACCACCCAACACCAATCAGGGTGATGTTCCTGGTGGGCCCTTTCTGAGGACTGGTAGAAACTGCTTTTTTTTAATCTCTGTTTTTATGCTTGTCCCAATATCTTTTAAGGGAGGGGTGAGGCGGGGGAAGAGGTGGCACTGTATAAAAGAAGCTGTCTTGATATTTCTAAAATTCATACAAAAACTTCCTAGGTAAGGAAACTTACCAGATTTTGGCACCAGATCTTTAGTGATGGACCCAGAAGCAACCTCCGTTTATTGGGATTATTTCTCTGTTACAAGCCAAAACCTTGATGACATGGAGGAGATTGACTTCCATGTTCCTTACACATCTGTTTTCCTTCCCGTCTTTTACACAGCCGTGTTCCTGATCGGAGTGCTGGGGAATCTCCTCCTCATGAGTGTGTTGCATTTCAGACAGGGCAGCCGAAGACTGATTGACATCTTTATCATGAACCTGGCTGCCTCTGACTTCATTTTCCTCATCACGTTGCCTCTCTGGGTGGATAAAGAAGCATCGTTAGGACTGTGGCGAACAGGCTCTTTCCTGTGCAAAGGCAGCTCCTACCTGATCTCAGTCAACATGCACTGCAGCGTCTTCCTGCTCACCTGCATGAGTGTTGACCGCTACCTGGCAATTGTGTGTCCAACCGTAGCCAGGAAATTCAGAAGGAGAGACTATGCGTATGGGGTCTGTACCAGTGTCTGGTTTATCTCCTGCCTCCTGGGGTTGCCTACTGTTCTGTCCAGGGAGGTCACCCTGATTAATGACAAGCCATACTGTGCAGAGAAGAGGGCCACTTCAATTAAACTGACTTGGGCCCTGGTGTCTTTAATTTTTGCCTTTTTTGCTCCTTTGGTGAGCATTGTGACCTGCTACTGTTGCATCACAAGGAAGCTGTGCGCCCATTACCAGCAGACGGGAAAGCACAGCAAGAAGCTGAGGAAATCCATCAAGATCATATTTATTGTCGTGGCAGCCTTTGTCTTCTCCTGGCTGCCCTTCAATACTTTCAAGCTCCTGGCCGTTGTCTCCAGGTTGCAGCAGGAGCTCTACTTTTCCTCATCTGTTCTCCAGCTGGGCATGAAGGTGAGTGGGCCCTTAGCATTTGCCAACAGCTGTGTCAACCCTTTTATTTACTATATCTTTGACAGCTACATCCGCCGGGCCACTGTGCACTGCTTGTGCCCTGGCCTGAAGAACTCTGACTTTGGGAGCAGCACTGAGACATCAGATAGTCACCTCACTAAGGCTTTCTCCAGCTTCATTCATGCAGGGGATTTTGCCAGAAGGAGAAAGAGGTCTGTGTCACTCTAAAAGGGACTGCGACTTTTCAAGTTCTGTTGGTGACTTGGACAGTTAATTTGGGCCATTGACAGGGAAAGAAGAAAAGTATTGCTGAAAGTGTCCATATTGCTTCATAAATGCAAGGAAGAGTTCATTTTTACTAAAGAAACAACTGAAAAATCCTTATGTTTGTGGATATAATACTGTTTTTTAGCTGAATGGCCTTGCCAATCCAGTTTGCCAGGCAAAATACAACTTCTATATGTCCTTGAACTCTGAGATAAAGGCTCCTGCTTGGACTAGTTCCTTTCTCCATGATTCTTAATACACATTTAGGCCTTTTCCTCTCTCAAACACCATTCAAACACCATGACACCGTGGTCCACACCCCCTTCACACTAGGGTCCAAAGTGGACTACATTTAAAGGATTCTGCCCACTTTCATCTGGTGAGAAATGTGGTGTCAATGCAGGTAGCAAAAATTATAATATGCATGTGCTCTGTAATTAATTGTTCATGAGTAATGAAGTGAGGTTCTGGTCTTGCTATTTAAAACCTCGTATGGTGATTCTTTACCATCTTCCAATATTGTCTTTCACCCTATGCCATTCAAAATAACTTTAGGCTGGCAAAAAGCTCATGGGGATGAATCACTTTGTTATTGTGTTTATCATTTGAGACTTACATTATCATCTGGTCTTCTGAATATTTTAATAAGAAAGCATAAGGCAAGGCTTGACCTTTATTTTCTGTATAAGATATCTTAGTAAAAATGTATCTCATTATAATGGTGTAGTAACTGCTTTTCAATGGGGTTTTGGTATGCTCTTTTGTTTTTATTGTCTTTATAATTAGGATATGACTTCACTTTAATTATATGTTTTTAAATTACCCAGTTATCTGGTTATCAAATAAAAATGTTACTACTAATATAATTAGAGGTCATCAAATACTTAGCTTCAGCCTTGTGCAGGTTATGATTTTATATTTTAATTAAAATGTTAGTGCTATACATTCCTTATAGCCTCATTTGCTCTTATGTATAATTTCAAGATTTGGTCCAGTAATATAGGAAAGCAGGATGCTCTGTATTCAGCTGAAGTTAAAAAAAATCGTAACAAAGATGATGTTGGTATTATATATACATTTTTCCAAACCCAGATACTATCCTGAATTATTAGGTTTAACTTCATCCTAATGTTGGAACATTGAGCAAATCATTTTAATCTTCCATACTTAAATATAGTTGGTACTATCTATGTCTATAGAATTCTCAAGAATATTATAAAACTAATAAGTATAATGGTTTATAAAAATATTGAGTAACAAGTTATTATATAAAGCTGTTGGGTTTCTATTATTATTGAATGTTGCTTAAAAATTTCCAAGCTAAAATATCAAATGACAGCCACTCTCATTTAGCAAATATTAAGAATCTAACTTCTGTTTCATTTCTTTAGTTTTTGCAAGAATATTTAAAATAACATTAAAAAAATATTGTTATACTTTTTAATACATTAAACAGACATGCTAATTTTATGACTTTAAAAAATCTTAGTGTATTTTATATTGATAATGTACCAAAGAGATGGAAGGAAAAATAGGCACAATTTTATAGATGGCATAACTGTCATAGAAAAAAGTTCAAAACTTGTTTAAGTTGTTAAGTGACTATGTCGTATATGGATTCCTCTGGTATGAAATGTAATCTACATTACAATAGCATTAAAAGTTTTATTATACATTATTTGGTTAGGTCTCATCTTGCATATTTTTAAACCATATTACTTTCACAGTTTTACATGAACGAATTTTATATATGTATGTAGATAAAAACATACTCAGAAACACGGACATATTTTAATAACTTTTCAATATTTTTGTTATCTCAGTTAAACTCCCCTGAGGGTTCCTTTGTGGTAATTAAAGTCATTATAGAACAAATCAACACACATTGCCACAAATTCTAAAAAATTAATCTGACACCTTAACACAATCATGCCTTGCTCTGTTACATCCAAAGACAGAAAAACAAAATAAAATTTAATAAGAGCAAATCTATAAGGAAATCTTTGCAGATTAACATTACCTGTTGTTGTTTGTTTAAGCAGTCCAAAGCTATTGCCAGGATGTTACTGACAGTAATCTCCCAAGCATTTCTCAAGCAATTTTTATTCAACTTACCACAGAAAAGCTCTCCATTCAAACTTGAGTAAGATGCCATCGATAACTTATAATTAATTTTAGAATAGTTATACCCGCACACAATCACAAACACACATTTACCCCATTTGGGCCATATTTGAACATTAAAACTAACCTGGTATTCCTGGGAGTACCTTAATTTGTCCACTCTAACAAGTCAAAATCACTTCTGAGTGAAAATGACAGTGAGAAAAACAGTCTTAAAGGGAAGCTATGTGCGTGACTGAGAGTAGACTATTACTGGGGGTCACAAGATAATTTTAAAATAGGTGAAGAAATGCACGGTCTGATGGTAAGCTGAGTGAAAGAAATCTTCCTCTATGATTCATCTTGACTCCTAAAATTATTCTCTATTCCTTCCCCCTAGCAATCTCAGAGGTGAGAAATGACTGTGTGTGTCACAGAGAACAGTAAGCCTCAGTTTTCCTGTAGAGCTCATTCACAAAAGTCAAGCAATATTGAAAGAATTACAAATTTATTTCTATACGGGCCACTGGCGTTGCCTGCTAGCAAGATGATGCCTCCAGCCCCAGGAGAGAGAGAAGCCTCCATCCAGAGAAAAAGAAAAATCTACCAGAATATTTGTAAATGGTTACTGGGCTTTGCCTTTCACAGAGGTTGGTGTGGATTGGATTGTCCCTTGCAACTGCCTGTTTTTATTTTAAGTTCTTTTCTTTGCATCAGTCTTCTTTATTTTTGTCCATTCTATGAGTAAACAATTATTACTAGACTTTACATATACATGTACAGGGGAAAACAACAGTACCAGTGACCTGATTCCATACTGCAGATGTAAAAATCCACCTTCGGATGAATTATTTTTGTCTCTTGCTTTCTTTGTCATTTCCTTAATACAGTTGTATTTCCTAAATGTATTTGATAAACGGGAATTGTATCCTAAGATTAAATTACAGCGTTTTTTTAAAAAAACCTATTTTGCCATGCCGGCATGGCTCAGCGTTTGAGCATTGACCTAGGATCCAGGAGATCGAGATTCGATTCCTGTTCAGGGCACTTGCCCGGGTTTCGGGCTCCACTCCCAGTGGGGGGTGTGCAGGAGGCAGCTGATCAATGACTCATCATTGATGCTTTTATTTCTCTCTCTCCCTCTCCTTTTCTCTCTCTGAAATCAATAAAGATATATTTAAATATATATATAGCCCGGCCAGGCGTGGCTCAGCGGTTGAGCATCGACCTAGGATCCAGGCGATCAGGGTTCGATTCCCGGTCAGGGCACATGCCCGGGTTGCGGGCTGCAGCTGATCAATGACTCTCTCATCACTGATGTTTCTATCTCTCTCTCTCCTTCTCCTTTCCTCTCTCTGAAATCAATAAAGATATATTTAAAAAAATAAAAAATAAAGAAAATAAAAAAATATATAAAGGTCCTTGTTAGAATACGTTATGATCTATATTTTATAAATGCACTTTCCCATTTGCTCTTATATATAAGGCAGAAGATCTAGCAATTCTTGTGATGTTCTTAGATCAAATAAAATTTAATTCATTGAAACTTATAGATGACTAAAGACTATTTTTAATTTTTTTAAAAATTGTGGCAGATTCTTCAGCAAGGAGCTCTGCTCTTTTCCTTAAAGAGTAGACAGTATTTAAGTATTTAAATATATTAACTATAAGTACAATATTTAAGAACTGTCTATTGCAAAACTTTACAAATCCCTAAATTTGAAAATTTCAGGATGGCATATATTTTACTCCACACAAATTTAGCAAAGTGTAACCTCTTCATAGCTACTTCATGATGTGTAGAAAAATAAAGCAGATTGAGATGCCCATCCTGAGTGTTCGGCCTTACTAGCTAATTAAGTCACATTCCTCTCTGCATCATAGGTTAATGATTTAATTTTATGCCATAGATCGTAAAGTTCCTTAGAAATAGTCATTATCTTAAACATCAAACTGTAAATGCAAAGTGTCTATTATGTACAATGCACTATGACAACCACAAATTTATTATTATAACTGATATATTCCTTATGATAACTGATGGATTCTAAAGCAGGCACATTGCAGTCACTCACAAAACACAAATGTGCACAGTGTACAAATACAGCTGATAAGTACCTATTGAATCTTGTTGCTAATATTCAGACTAAAGTATTTGACAGAATGCGAGAAAGGAGAAAAAGCAAAGAAAAATATAGTAAATAGAAAATACGAAATTAAATGGCACATATAAGTATAAATATATCTATCAGCAATTACAATAAAAACACAAATGGATTAAAATTTCCTCTTAAAAAATCAAACAAATAACCTGTTTCACAATCAACTACTATACAGGGTGGAGCAAAGCTAGGTTTACAGTTGTTTGTATGGAAAAAATACAATAATAAATAATAATACAAGAATAAACTCTGTTTTGTGTACCACAACTGTAAACCTACTTTTGCCACACCCTCTCTATATGGCGCTATTAGACTCTGTGGGATTTTAAGAGGAAGTCATAGAATTTATCTTTTCATCAAGTTTACAGTTCCCATAGTTATTTATTGTTTGAATCAAACGATAAAGTACTGACACCCAAGAATAGCTTTACAGATAAAAAGAAAATTACAAGTCAAATCACTTTCTTTGATCTTTCCCAATGTTTAGGGAAAAGCCCATACTTACTCCACATACAAGTCACTTCATGTAACTGTCATTTTGACATGGTTATTTCCTAAATATTGTCACATTTCCTTAACAAAATGTTCACATTGGCATCTCTAAATGAAAACACTTTTGTTACCCTTAAAGATTGTTAGGTATAAAAGATTATTTTAAACACAAGAGCACATCTTGAACAGTATTAAGTTTAAATTTATTTTCAAATGACAAACTAAAGAAGACATGCAAAGTACATAACTCTTCTCTAACCTGGCCAAAAGACAGTGATTTAATAAGATATCCTCTCACTCACCCTCAGTTTAGACCAAAAGCAAAACTGACAACTCAGGTGGAGAAGTGGTAGATGAGAAATGAAACTTGGCCTGTGGTGTCATGTTTAAAACAAAAAATAAAAATTTAGAGGAATTAAAGGTAGGTGAAAATAGCTACTCTATTTCTAATGAAAAAAAATGTACATGCCCTAATTCATATGCATCAATAAAAATAGTTTAAAATTAGAAAATTGGTGACGAATTGAAAAAAAGTCAATGCAGCACTGCATAGTCTTTATGATTTCAAATCACAATAATTTCACTTCTTTTACTCAGGCATAAAATATGCCAATAAACTTAAGAAAATATTTAGCATGATAAATAATCAAAATGGCCAAATTAAAATAACAAAATAATTTTTACCTATTAAATTGGCAAAGATTTGAATATTAAATACTAATTTTGACCAGGATTTGGAGGTATGGAGTCTGGGGGGAGACTTCTTGGACTATTAAGTGTAGTTTGATTAAGCTTTTTAGAGGAATTTAGAATATATGTGAAAAGCAATTGCACTTTCAGGATTTTATCCTGGAATGTAATTATGACCACATGCAAAGATATATAACATGCATTTTTATTGCAGCATTGTTTACAAAAGTAGAAAAGTGAAAACAACCTAAATGTCCTCTACTACAAAATTGGCTGAATAAATTAAGGTTCCTATACATCCTTACAATGGAAGACAATGTAGCCTTTAAAAATATGGTACCATGTACTGACATGGAAAAATATTCATAATATGTTAAATGAAGTTAAGTAAAAGATAAGTCTACAAAGCAGTATCTACAGGATAATCACAGTTGTGAACATTTCATTTATGCAAGAATATAAAAACACTAGAAACCTTACAACAAAATGTTCATCACTAGGTAGTGAGCTTACAAGTGTTTTTTATTTTTATTATTACCTGTATTGTCCAAAAAGAACATGCATTAACTATAGTAAGAAAAAAATCTGTATTTTTAAATTAAGTACACAAAATAAAAATTAGAGCTAAAGTAAATTTGTTATAAAACATCAACCTGAATCATAGGCCTTCTGGTTCTTCATTGCATTGTATTTCTGATTTCTTAGTGAGTATAACCCTTACACTGGCCATGAGCCCTTTCCTAATGAACAATCATCTGATTCTTTTTAAGATGGTCTATTATCTGTACAGGTACCTGATTCCTTAAGAGCAATAATTTCAGAACTATTATACATTTAAAAGTTTTAAATGGACATGAGGAGTTGACCAGGGGTTGACTACTCCAGCATTCAAGGAAGAGCCCCATTTCCCTGTGCCCTCCCTTAGCACAGCAGCTATTGCAACCTGCATATGGAA